CCGGTGCATACCCCCCCCCCCCCGAACGAAAGCTTTCAGTGATGATGCCGCGAGACGTGCCACTACTGCTACTTGTACTACTTCTGTTTTTTGTGGGATAAATGCCCTCGTGGTAGGCATGGAATAAATGGGCACCGTGCCGTACCAGGAGGTAGACAGCGTGGCGAATCTGCTGCCGGGTCCTCCTGGGCGCTCTCAGAGACGGCCATCGGGATGATCACGGTAGACAGCGTGCCCTGCCGCGCACCCGAAGAAAAAAACCGGCATTGTCCTCCCGCGCCAACCGGGGGATGGGCGCAGTCGTGGCTGTCCCAGCGCGTTTCCCCACTATTTCTGCTTCTCGTGGCGGACGACACGTCTCGTTGACGAAGTGTTGTGCGTTGTCTTTCTTTCCTTTGCTGGAACCACACAGCCAAGATTCATTTTCGCACCTAGTACGTTGTCCTCTTTCCTTCGCTTAAAGCCCCTGTTCCCGTTCTCATGTCTCCTCCACGCCACACAGCCAGGCAAGCGTAAAGAGCACATCGCACACGTGGTACACCTGGTATACGTGCGCCTATACAACTCCACCTCTCATAGACTAGACTGCAACTGATCGTTAAGATTCCAATCCATTACATACACCTATTTCTGTTTTCTGGTATTATTCACCTTCTTTTGCACACACACTGGTAAAAACGTCTTTTCCCCCCTATACCCTGTCGCGAAAACGCGAATGGACCAGTTTCTTCGCCAATCAAGTTTTGGGAGGAGTTTTGAGAAACGTCGCACGGCAAGAGGGGCACAGGATCATCACTCTCGCTCGACATGCATTATGCCGCTACCTCTGCAGTCCACCACCGCACACACCCTTGTTCCCACATGACGAGCGTATACAGCAAATATGTACTTAAAAAGCAGAGACACCCGAACATGTACCACCGTGCACACCGGAATCGCCAGATACCTTGACAGGAAACCTGCAGCAGCATCGATTGTGTCCGACCAACGCACGCACCGTCACATCACGAATCAGCTTCAGCTTGTCGCTTGAGGATCTGATATTGTCGTGGAGACAACATCACCACCCCGCAACCGAAACCTAAGGTTATAGTCTCCACACACCCGTTCGCGCCGAATCTTTTCCACGACATGCCGCCACCCTGTCGCCCACCAAGCATGCTGTACCCGCGCGCAGAGGAAGACATCGCACACCTTCACGTTGACAGGGTCTCATCNCGTCGCTTGGCAACGACGTTGTAAAACAAGCCAATTCACTTTGTGAACTCGGCAACCAGGTTACCGTTTTTTTTGTACCTCCGTTTTTTTTTTGGCGGNCACCACGTTGTGTTAAAATGGCCAAGCATCCTCGAGGCAGTTACACAGTGCTTACAACTGTCGCTGGATGTGAAAGCACAGAAAATATATTAAGTCATACGCAGCTGTCATCCGTACGCAAGGAAGTAAGCACAAGATGCCGAAAACCCTTAGCAGGATGCAGCGCACCCTTCATGCGACTCGCCGAATATCTCACGGCGCTTCGCGCTTGGTGATGTGAGAGCCTGGTCCGGTGA